TTCTTTAACTTTTTAAACCTATTCTAATTTTTTCACATCAACATCATATTTATTATTCTAAAACCCTTTTGGCAATTTAACTTCTGTAGATTTTTCAAAAGTAGGAATTCCAATTCCCATTTTTTTCTCATAAATTCTTTTATTAATACTTGCCTATATATACTAATCTTCAGTCTTAAAATCTTCCAAAACACACTCCACACCTCTAATTTTCTGCCTTTTATCCCCAAATCTCTAACAATTTCCTTCCACTTTTATACCAATAATATACAATCCTCCTAAAATGCTTAATTCGATTTCTTTTTTATAAACTCCGACATTATTAGGGCTAAAACTAGCCTTTAGAGATGTTACCTGATTTGGATTTAAAATGAATTTCTTCGGAAGTATTTAAAAACAAGGCAGTCTTAATACTTCTATATCTAAAGGTAATTTATTATGTCTATTTTCAATATCAAAGCCATTATCTCTGTGATCATTGGCATTACATTCACCGAATTTTATTATTTATTTGAATAATTTTATCTAAGGGAAAGTACTTTTTACTTAGTAAGAGATTACTAATTAATCATCTTTTGGTTCTTCATCATCATCGAATTAAAAAATTGAATAATAGTTAAATTCTTAGACTAAAATTTTCTATTCAGATAAATTCTAGGCGTATTTTCTACACTGTTATACATGTTCGTATTTTACTTCTGAATTGCATTCAAATATTAACTTAGTATTGGAATATGGCTATATTATTCCATTATTTGGCTTCACACACATTATTTATTCTGTTATTTCTCTTCCTTATCCAGCTGGCGTTTATAAGGTAACGAATTCATCCTGAAAAATTATTAAATATAAATTTATTAAATATATTAAAAATTATAAAGAAAAAAAAATAAAAAAATACATTAGGATTAAATACACCTAATTTCATCAATACTTTAAATTTTTATGGTTTCGGTGTATTATTAATTAAATATCCAGTATGTTTTTTCTATTAACCAAAATAAATTTCACCAAAATCAATATTAGTAATCTAAGATTATTATTCATCTAAAATAACTTTATTATAGTCAACTGCAGTAGCACTAATATCTATTTTTCCTATATTTTATATATCTTCAATATGAACTTCAATTAAACCTCTAAAAATACCTGAATCTTTTTAACTATAAATAAATATATATATATATATATATATATATATATATATATATATATATTTATATTTACTTATAAATAATCTTTACTCTTTATTTTTATCCTTATTATAATACAAAATTAAATGGTTCAATTTTTATTTATTACATACATTCTGTTATAAGTTTCACTTTTCCTTATTATTTTCCTATATTTTCAAAATTAATATACCTAACAGCATCTTTAGAAATTCTTATGAAACCTAAATCTAAAAAATCATCGTATTTTATATCAGCTTAAGGTCTCCTTGCATATACAGGAACCAAAATTTTATGTTTTTTACCTTCATCTTCATATTCTATTATCAATTCATCCGAAAAATTCTCTAATAATGCAGTTTCAAAATTAATATACAACTTCCCACACATTCCCGATGCCAATTAAACTGAAGAATCGAATTCAACCCAAAATTTATTAGTTTTAGGTTAAAAAACACGGATTCTCTTACCTACTTTACTCAAATTCTATACATATAAAATTGTTTAATAAGGTTAATTAGCTTCAATATTGTCAAAAACTATTTCTTAAGGTATTATTTCAAGTATTTTCTATGTATTTGTTATAGTTTTAATCCTTTTTACATTTAAAAACTCAGATGCTGTACTTGGGCGACTTATTATATTACGATGTTTACCAAATTTAGTATTATTTGCAAATGTTGTGGATTTTTTCAATGAATGATCATTATTAAAAATTTCTAAATTTGTAGAATCATCAATAAATGAAGTATTATAACTAGTATTTTTTTTATCTTTTTTATTATTTTAAGTTTATCTAACTTTAACTTTAGGTTTTGCGGAAAATGCACGATTTTTAAGTTTTTACATTGATTTTAATGAATTTCCGAACTTATTATTAAGTGTTTATTTTTTAAAATATATATATATATATATATATATATATATATATATATATATATATATATATATATACTGTATTTTTTTATTTATTAAATAATTATTAATAAATAATTTCTCAATTAATAAAATTTTCATTTATTTTTTATTAAAAATATATATTTTATTTTAATTCAAAAATTAAATGAAAATTTATTTTTAATTATTTTATATATTTTTTCTTTTATTATTATTTATTTTTTTAAATCTATTTATTAAATTTAAATAAAGTTATATTTTTTTAAAAAGTTTTTATTTTTAAACAATTATTTTATATTTTTTAAAATATATTAATTTTTATAAAAATCTAAAAATATTAAAAATATTATTATTATATATAATAAATATTTTACGCGCTAAATAAAAATAAACAAAATGTAAAAAAATCCTGAATAAATAAAAATTTTCGCGTTTTCTAATTGTCCTTTATTTTAAAATGAAATGTCTAATTTCGAATATTTTGAATTAAAAAACACTATAAACAACGAAAACTATAATCGCCGTTACTTATACAATAAAATAAACAATGAAACCATTTGTGAGATATTAAAAACTGAATATTAGGGTTCTATTTTTATTTAAAATAATGTAATATCAAATGGTTCATATTTGAATATAATTGAAATAGATCCTTTATTATTATCTATTTCATATTTAAATAAGTCTCGGGGTGTTCCTACATCAGAATTTAAAGGTCATTTTAAATATTTAGAAGAAATATTTTAAAGTAATGAGCCCAAAGAAGAAAAAGGATTTAAAATTTTAAAAGATAACAAACGTATAATGAGAGATTTGTAGAAAATATGCGATATATAGAATGATTTTTACAATGAGAAAATGTATAGAATAAATAACTAGAAATTATAATAATTTTTAAATGAAAAAATAGATAAAGCAAGAAATGCCTTCATGAAAAATCCTCTTTCTTTTTAAAAAATTAACACTAAGGAAATTATTAGTGATGACGAATATTTTGGATTAGAATTTATTTATTAATAAATTCCTACTGATTTATTTGTTAGTCTAGTTTTAAATGAAAGGAATTATACTTTTGATTAATTCGAAAAATTCAAAAAATAAAATTTTTCTTCTTCGAGTTAATTTTAAGAAGATGAAAACGGGCTAAATGAAAATCTTAATAAAAACTTAATTAGTACTAATAAAAAAAATACTAATCAAAAATAATAAAAAAAAAATCTCCTATTAAAGTTTAAGCGAATAAAATTGATAATTTTTTTAAAAAAAAATGAATTTTATATGTTTTTAATTTAGTTTTTATATAAAAATAATGTTTTTCTTATCAATATAAAAAATTGAAATTAAAAATAAAAAAATAGATATTAAATTATAATATTTTATTGCCTTTTTTTATTTTAATTAATTTTAAAAAAATCATATTTTTCGTTTTTTTCTAGAAAAGTCGTACTTATTTAATACACTGAATAAGAATAAAATATATTAAATACACAAATTGATATAAAAAAAAATATATAATATAATCATTACAATTACTAGAAAATGGACTATAATACAATCAATTAATATAAAAGGACAATAATTTATATAGAAAAATAATAATTTATATAAAAAAACATGAATAAAAAACAAAACAAAGATAATTATTATCTTAATCAAATTCATATAATTTTAATTTAAAAAAGCAATCTATAAAATTTACAAAAAATAAACAAATTCAATCATCATCAATTTTATCATCATCTTTTATATAAACATTAGTTTTTACTGATTTTTTATGATCATAAAGTTTTTTCATATCCTCCCTCATTTTATCATCTACTTAATAATTATCATTATATTCCGAATTCTTTTTCATTATTGGTTCAGCACTTTTCCACATATAACTAGATCCTAATGCTCTAGAATAATAAAAAGTAAATAAACCCATACAAACCAAACTTATATCTTTCAAAAATAAAGGATTATTATATAATAAAAATTTCTTTTTATATGCGACAACTAAGCCACTTAAAAAAAATCCTTATAATGAATATTCTATTATTTTTTCGGCTTTTAATCCTAATGATAATAAATTTCTTTCTTTTTCTGTAATTTTATCTGATTACAATATATCTTATACTGCTTTTGTTCTCCTGTTGTATTTACTTTCTGAAAAATAATTCATTTCTTTTTTTTAGAGATATAAAATATTTATTATAATATTTATATATTAATATATTTTTGCTTTATTTTCAAATGAATAAAAACCACTTTAATAATTATATATATATATAATATCGGTATATAAAATTTATTTAGTCTTCAAAAAAAAAGTATATTAAATGCATTAATATGAAAATTATAAGAACATATAAAAAATTAATTAAGTTCTATAAGATTAAAATAGTTAATATAAATTTTCTGAATAGATTTATATAAAAATAAAATTGAATTTTATATTTTTTATATTTTTAAATAAATTCATAAATTTAATTAACCTTTATTTTTCTATGATTAAATGTAAAATTTTAGGACACTCTCAATTAAATGTGTTATTTCTAAATAACTCATATAATAATCATCAAAAATAGACTATAATTATCTCAAAGTCTTTAGAATTTTAAATATTATTTTTAAATTTAAGCAACTCCATATTTTTTTTCAATCGAATTAGCATAAAGACTTTAACTAGCTCAAAGGAGAAAATTAATATTTAAAATATAAATTTTAGATTATAAATCAGTTTATTCAAAAAACTTAGTAAGTATTTATACATATTTATCTTATTTTAAGTTCCCTTGATTAAATTAAATCTAATCCTTTTTAGGGATTGCACCCTACACTAATATTTTTTCCTTTTCTGTACATATTTAGATCTTTTAAACTGGTATTTTTTAATCTTTATTATATATCAAAATTAATCTTTTTTAATTTTATTAAAATACAATATAGAATTTAAGAAAATATTTATCCCAAATTACTTTCTTATTTATATTAATTTTTTTATTTTTAAATTATTGCATTTTATTCTTTGAGTTATGTTTTTTAGATTGGTTACTTCTTTATTTTCGGATATATATTTCTGACTGTTTCTAGGGTATTCTTTAATATAATTACTGAAATATTCTATATCTATATTCTCGATTTTCTGTGGTTTAACAGATTTTAGCTTAATAACTTCTAATTATTTTTGTTTTTCTCCATAAATTTACTAAATTCTACTTATATATTTCTCACTAAATCTCAAGTAGCGATAGTTTAAGGTTTATACTACTTGAGTATCTCAAATTCTATCTGTTTTTAATCTTATTATAGTTCCTTTTAGTAATTTGTTTTAATTAATTTATTATTTATATTTTATTTTTTTCTATAATTTGAATAAAATGATATATTAAATAATATTTAGGTATGTATTTGATTAATATTATAATATATATTTTCAAATTTGCGCATATAATTTCTAATATTATTTTATTAATACTATTTATTTCTATACACATTACTTGCTCATAATTTTTTTATAAAACATAAAATAAAAAAGCAATCCTTTTATCAAAAATTTTTATTGCCTTTTTTTTTTTTTTTCATTGATTGAGAATATTTTGAAAAAAAAAAATAGAGAAAAAATTTAAAAAATTATGAATAAGAAATACATAGTTTAATAATTTTAATTTAAAAAAAAAAATTAAATTTTTATTGTATAAAAAATAAATTATAATTTTTTTTTTATTAATTTCTTATTAAAAATAAATAAATTATAAGTTAAAAATAAAATATATAAAAACAAAGAATAATAATATGTCCCTTTAAGAATTTAATATTATAAAAAAACTTGGTAATATTTTAATAATTAATATAAAAAAATCAATATCAATTTAAAATAAATTTATTAATTACTATACCTAAAAAAAAAAAAAAATTCCTTCTATATTAAAAAAAAATATTATATATTTTAAAGGAGAAGGAGCTTACAGTAATGTTTACAAAGTTAAAAAAATAAGTGATAATTAAGAATATGCTTTAAAAAAAGTTAAGCTTTTAAATTTATCAGATAAAGAGAAAGAAAATGCATTAAATGAAGTCAGAATTCTCGCATCAATAAGGTCTATAAATGTAATTGGCTATAAGGAAGCTTTTTTAGACGAAGCTTCGAATTCTTTATGGTATACTTATCTAAATTTTATAATAAATATTATTATTTTAATTTAATAATTGAAAAAAAATACAAAAAATATAACATTTATAAATACTAATTATTATTTATATATAAAGTATTATAATGGAATATGCTAATAATGGTGATTTATACTAAAAAATAGTAGATGGTTAAAAAAAAGGTTAACTATTACCAGAAAATGAAATATGGGAAATTTTTATATAAGTTTATACAAAAAAAAAAAAATCGATTTTTTATTTATGAAAATAAATATAAAAAAAAGGTAGTTAAAGGTTTAAAAGTACTGCACAAATTAAAAATATTCCACCGAGATTTAAAAGTATAAAAATAAAAAAAAAAAACAAAAAAAACAAAAATAAGAGTGCAAACGTCTTTCTAACAAAAGAAGGAGTAGTAAAATTAGGAGATATGAATGTTTCAAAAGTTGCAAAAAAAGGTCTTCTTCATACTCAAACAGGAACACCATATTACGCAAGGTAAATCATTTTTATAAAATATTATAAATATATATATATATATATATATATATATAAATAAAATATATTTTATATTTATAATATCACAATAAAGCCCCGAAGTATGGAAAGATAAATCCTATGATAGTAAATCTGATATGTGGTCATTAGGTTGTGTATTATATGAAGTAACAACTTTAAAGCCTCCTTTTAGAGCTGAAGATATGGAAGGTTTATACAAAAAAGTTATAAAAGGACATTATCCGAAAATCCCTTCTCATTATTCCTTAGATTTGGCACATATAATTCGTTTGTTATTATAAGTATAACCTCATTTGAGACCTTCATGTGAAAAAATATTACAAATGCCAATAATTATAAGTAAAATGAATGAGAATATGCTTATGGAATCCACAGAAGAGAATTGTGATAACTTATTAAACACTATAAGAATTCCAAATAACATAAATAAGCTTTACGAAAGACTTCCAAAGCCAAATTATTAACCATTATAATCATTTAAAAGGACGAATTATTAATAAAATAATTATGAAGAATAACAGAGTATAATTTAATATATGAATCAACCAAAAGGAATTTCCAAATCTTAATAATAACTTATTCTACCGAAAATATAAATAAAAAATTTATGTGAATTAAATAAAAACTAATCAAATTACGAAAGCGTAAACGCAAGTTAAATTTCTTTAATATAAAAAAATAATAATAATAATGATATTTTATAAGAAAATAAAGGATAAAAAGAAAAGAAGACTATTAATTATTAAAATAAATTAAATAATACGATATTAAAAGTGAAAAACTCATAATTAATGGAAAAAAAGCAATCAACGAATATCATTCTTCATTAGATCATTATAAACTAATAAATAATCCCTCTACAAATAAAATTTCAACTTTAATATCTATTAATAATAATAATATTTTAGATAAACAATAGAAATTGCCTAGTATTCTTTCAACTAAAATACTAAATTAACAAGATATTTCATATAGAAATGATGATTATAAACTTAAATAACTTGTAAAAGCTTATAATTAAGATTATTCAATTAAAGATAAATATGTATCACTTTAAAAAAATAAAAAAAAAAATATGCTTTCGAATAGAAATTCAAACGTATAAAAAATTTTGTATCCATATTCAGAAAAAAAAATATTCCTCTGATAAATAATAATATGAAAAAAAATATATATATAAAAAAATAAACTTTTAAATAAAAATCGCATTATTTTTTGTTATATTAATATTATATTCATTATACTATTTTATATATATTTATTATATAATAATTGTTATATCTTTTTACTTTATTTTATAATAATTAAATAGTTTAATAATAAAATAAATAAATATATATATATATATATTATCCTTTAAAAAAAAATATATTAGTTTTTTTTTTTTTTCAAATTAAAGAATTCATTTCTTTATATTTTTAATAAGCTTAAATCGCTTCTTAGAAAGCTTCACTATTCTTTGTATTTAAAGGTTGATTATTCATTATTACTTACATTTTTAACATTTTTTCATATATTTTTTTATTTTCCTCATCTAAATCCTAAAATAAATATATATATATATAAATAATATATTTAAATATAATTAAATTAATACTCTTTTATCTTATAATTGAACATCACACTTGCTCTCCAAACTTTTAAATTTGGAAGCCCAATTTCTATTTTTATTTTCTAAATCTTGTACATCTTCAGTCATCATATTAATATCATGTTTATATTTTTAATCATTTCTTTTAATAAAAAAAAAAAAAAGAAAATTAAAATTAAATTTTTCTATATTTACATTTATACTAATCTTGTATGATCATGATTCATTTATTCTTTAATAATTCTTTTATTAGAGATTTTTTATTCCAAAACATAAATTTAATATTCTAAGTTTTTAACATAACTTTCTCTATTTTGTTTTTCATTTTTAAGTCTTAAAATTTTCTAATCTACTTCATTAAAGGCTGTTTATCTAATTCTATTATCATTTATATCACCTTAAATTATTAAAAAAAAATATATATATATATATATATTTTTATTCATAAAAAAAAAAAACAAAAAACTTAAAAAAAGTTCAGAATTATTATTTAAAACATAACTTTAATATTAATTCCTTAACCCGTAGTCTTTTTATAAATCTTCGTATTAGAAATTTTCATCTTCATCCATATATAATTCATTTGCAATTCCATTATTTACATCATAATTATCCTATAAAGCAATTGGTTTGACAGGATTTTAATAAACTTCATTTTTTAAATTATGTTTTTTATCAGATAAAAATTATCTTGATAATGATAAATATAAAGGATTTGTTTATCTTGTATATGAATCCTGAGCATATTTTTTCAAAACAGTAGCTTACGAATTATTTTTATTTTAACATTAACTTTATTTAAGAATTCCTTTCTGTTGTTATTATGTCTATGGTATATCTTCTTCAACATTATTTATTTATTATTGTTCTTATACTATATATATATATTTTTATTTTTTTAAATTATGTCTCATATTTTTTTATTTTTACTAGTTTATTCAACTTCCGGAATCGCTGGCTATACTGGTTATGGATTTAGATAAACTGGTTATTATTCTTGAATACAATTTTCCTTTTTTTATTTTTTATTTTTTTTTCAAAAGGAAATAAATAATTTATATACTGTTAAAGGTTCTGTTCTATAAACAGTTCTATCATATGGCGGAGTAAGCCCTTCTATTTCATATTAACTACCAGAAGGTGGGATTTAAGGATATTAAATTGCATATGAACCTTTATATTGAGAAAATGGAATTTAATGAGTATGTGTTGTTACTAATTTATTTTCTAATATTTAATTTATTTACATTTATTTATAATTTTTTCTTTATTTTATATTATTTTTTATTTATCAATTTTATTTTTAGAAAGTTTCAAATATTTAAATAATTTTTATTATTTAGAAATATAAATTATTAAATTTTATTAAATGATAGAACAAACATATTATATTATAAATATATTTACTTTAAATATATTAAAAAAATAATTTAAAAATAAAAGCAATCATTTAAATTTATTCTAACATTCTTAATTTTACTCCAAAAAAATAAGTTTTTCAGTATCACTATATATCTATATTTAACTTACTTTTACCTTTTATACTTTAAAAAATAATACATTTTTTTACCACCAATTAAAATACTCATTAAAAAAAAATCAATAACTTTAATTAAAAATATTTTAATATTCTATAACGTCCATAACATAACTAATTTCCTCCCAAAGTGCTTCTTCATTAAAACTAGATTTAGAAGATACAAATAGATTCTTTTTTATTTATAATCTAATACAATATAATTATTTCTAAAAGCAGAATCTCCCCAGAATGACTTAGCCATTATCTAAACTTTATTATATATTTAAATAGCAGTTATATTTTCATTTTAATTATTTACAATAAAGTAATAAATTTGAAGAATTTACATTTAAATTTACACATTCATTCATTCATTCATTCTTTTTAAAAAAATAATTACTAAAATCCTAATTATGTATCCTCATTATATCTATAGATTTTTTCATTTATTCACGAACAAAATTATTCAATATATTCAGGAATAATACACTCTCTGCAAAAAAACTTAATTAAAAACATAAATAATTTATTCCGCAATATTTTTAGGCAAGACTAATGCAGTATTTTATAAACTAAAACGGGCTAATTATTAATTTTGGATTTATATATGGTTTTTATTAGAATATCTTATTATTATTTTTTATTCGTTTTATATACTATTAAATTTAAACTCAAAAATGCTAATAATTACTTTATAGAGATATTTATCATTTTTTTAAATAAATTCTTAAAATATTCTTTATCATTTATGTATACATTTTATGGAATATTTATGTATTTTATTTAAAATTTTTCTGATATATGTATGCATTTTTATTAATTTACTTCTTCTTTACAATGAAATAACTATAAAATAAAATAAATTTTAACATAATAATAATATAAATGTATAATATAATTACTTATTTATTTATTATTAAATGATCTACTAAATATAAACCAAAAACTTTTATATAAACTTTTGGATAAATATTTTATAATTTTTTCCCATAACTAGTTTCTATTTTATTTTATTTTTTAAAAACTAATTTTATATTAAACAAAGAAATAAACAATATTCAACATATTAATTATATTTATCAATATAATTCAAATCGCTTTCCAAATTTTATAAACCAAAACCAATAATTCCATCTACATTTAAACATTATTATTCTTGAAGTCTTTAAACATGTATAAACTAAAAGTCTTTAATTTGTTTATTAATTTTTTTATTATCTAAATAGATTTATGTACTAAATAAACTATCCTATTCAATTTATATTTTTACTAAAAAAAATAAAAAATGAGAATACATATTGCATATAATCGATTCAATTTTTTTTAAATAATTTTCGAATAATTATTAAATTTATTATTTATAAAAATATAAAAATCTATTTTATACCAACTGAAAAGATGATTTCAATTATATATATTTTACATTTATAAAAATAAAAATTTTAAAAGCCGAAATTATTTTTAAAAAAAATATTATTATAGATATAAAATTATAAATTAAAAATTCATAAAAAAATATAACTTTTAATAAAAATAACATATATAAACACGCGGATTAATTTTTTAAAAATTGAAAAAAATATAAATAATTAAAAATAAAAAAAAATAAAAAAGTAAAGTAAAATGTCCGAATAATAATAATCAGTAAGATACTGCCGTGCTTTCCAAAACGACAACTGTACCTATGGAGAAAACTGCAAATACGCCCACTAAATATAACCCAAAAGACAAAACGAAAACAACGAAGAAAGACGTTATGAAACCAGATAACAAAAAGTTTGCTTTGATTATTAAAATGGAAACTGTAGTTATGGTGATAACTGTAGATTTTCACACAGAACCAAGAACACATACAATTAATAAAGAAACGAATGTCGTGCTTTCTAAAGAGGAGAATGTAAATATGGTGAGAACTGTAAATATTCTCATGAAAAGAGAAGAACCTGTAACGATTTCTAAAATGGAAATTGCAAATATGGTGAAAACTGTAAATACTCACATGAAATTTAATAAAAAAGAACAACTTAATAGACTAAACCTTGTAGAGATTTCTTGAATGGAGAATGCAAATATGGTGAAAATTGTAGATTCTCTCATTCTTAATAGGCTGAAGAAGGTGGAAATTAATAATAAAACTATAAAAATCGTTCTTATAGAAAATAATATAGAAATAACAACTATGACGGACAAAAAACTAAATAATGTAGAGATTTCTAAAATGGAGATTGCAAATATGCTGAAAATTGTAGATTTAGTCATGAACCTGCATAATAAGTTGAAGTTGCTAATTGATTTTTATTTAGTAATTTATTAAGAAAAGAAAAATTAATGTTTTTTTTTTTTTCAATATAAAAATTTATAAATGCATTTATTTTAGTTGTTAAATAAAATGAAAATTTTTTATTTAATTATTTATTTATTTTAAAAAAAATTAATATATAATTTTAGCTTATATTAAATTACTTTTTATATATTTTTTAAATTATTTAAATTAAAGTTAAAACAAAAATTTTTTATTTTAATAAGAATTAGATGATTTTTTTAATTTCATTAGTTATTATACATAATTCCTTTTTCAAATTATTCTAATTTATGAGTTAACTTATCTTTGATTTCTTAAGTAATAACTTTTTTATAACTAGTATTATTAAAAAAGAATCTGTCTAAAAGTTTATTTTAATTATAATTTTTATTTAATTTTAAATCATCATTATAATCTTTTATATTACTATTTTTCGGCTAAAACTTTTGTTAAAAATTGGTTTATAGTTTTGAGTATTACCTTTAAAAGCCAGATTATAAAGAATTAATTTTTTTTTAAAATGAATTTGATTAATTATAGTATAATCCAATCATATTTTTTAGCTTTTAAATTTTATGAGAATATTGAGGATTTACAGGATCTATATTTGAATTTTGGCTTGTATTTTATGCAAAATAAATTTAGGCAACATTTTATTATTATTTACTTAAATTTTAATACATTTTTTGTTTCAAATTAGAATTAAAATATCCATTAATTTATTATTTTTTTATTAAGTTTATATTTAATCTTATTATTATTCTTAGTCTTATATTACTTATTTTTTTTTCGATATATTTAATGAGATTTCCTTTTAATCTGATCTTTTAATTTCTTATAATAAATAGTTTAAATTTGGTAAGCTTTTATTCTTATATTTTGCTTAGAAACTATTTTATAATTCATTCATTAAATTTTCGTCGTTACTAAATTCACTAACTTACTTTTTTAATTAATTTTATACTATATTTTATTATGTTTATAAAGGACTTTGTATATTTGCATCATTTTCAGGTTTTAAAACTTAAGATTATTAAACTATTTTTATGTTTTATAATTATTCTTATAAATATTCTAAATTTTACAAACATTACTTATATTATTATAAAATATTTAAATCAAATTTGCCTATTATAAATAATTTTACATAAATATTTATTTAAAATATAGAATATATACCTTAATTTGTAATATTATCTGAAGATTTTTTATCAAGAGATTTTACATTATCATTTTTTTTAACTATATTTTTAATTTAATTTAAAAACATTTTTAATTTAAACTTTTATTCTCCATATTTTTTAATTTCTACTATTTTACTTACATTTTACGCTTATTATTCGGTATTTTCATTATAAAAATAGCCTTTAGATTTCGTTAATAATTAAAGTTTTTATTAAGAAAAGCTACTATTATTTTATTATATTTTAGATTGATCATAGTCTTATAAATCTATATATATATATATATATATATTATTTTTATTATTTTTTTAGTATTATTTTTAATAAAAAAACCATATGAAAAATGATTTCTTTTGTGTTAAATTATATGTTTAGAATCTTAATCATATTTTTAATTTTCAATAATAAAATCTTTATTTGAAGAATTTTTATATTTTTGTAAAAAAATTTTAAACTTATTTCCTTTGTTTGATAAATATTTAGTTATATATTAAAATTCAGGAAGTAATAACTTGCAAAGATTCTCTATTTTATATTAATTATAATCTGAATAATATTAATTATAATACTATGTAATTTATCTATGCATTAACATTAATTTTCTAAAACTGTCTTTTATTTATTATATTATTTCCCCTTTCTTAATAACTCCAGATAAATAATCGTTTAATATTTTTCTTTTTAAAGTTACTTTTTCCTTTATTTTAACTTAATTCTAATTTATTAAAGCATCTTGATTGAATCTTAATTAATATACTTTAGAATCTATTTTAGAGTAACTTTTTGATGTATACAAACTTATATAACTTTTATCATATCTTATATTGGATGTATTATTATATTTTTAAGGCATCTTTAAATATCTGCAATTTTTATGTATAAAATCCTATATTTAAGATAAATTATCATTTTCTTTATTTTCTTCAAAAGTAATATAATTAACTTTCATATTTTTTAGAATCTTTTAAATTTTTTATAAGTAAAAATTTAAAAGAAATAAATAAAAAAAAATGTTTAATGTTTTTTGTGTTTGTAAAAATAAAAAAAAACTATTATAATTTAAAATTAATAAATATTTTTTAGGATTTATATATATATTTTATTTTTTGCTAAATATGCATTTCAAAAAAAACATCTTTTTTTATTTTTAATTTAACTAAATTACAATATTTTTATTTCAATTAAAATAGCTAGTGGTATTGTCCTATTTTATTTTATAACTAAAAAAAGAAAAAAATTCTAAAATAAAAAACAATAAAAGAAAAAAAAAAAAATAACAAAAATATTTTTAATTAAAACACAAAGAAACAATTTTTAAATTAAAAACATAATAAAATTATTTATTTACAAATATTTTCAAATAATATATATTAAATAATTCCAATATCAATTAAAAAATTAAAAATAAAAATAAAAAAAAAAAGAAAAAAAAATTATGATGACAGAAAAAAATAAAGCACTTCCATATCATGAACAACCAGAACATCCAAGAACTAAATCGTTAAAAAATTAGAAATATAATTTTTATTATAAAAAAATATATATATATATATATATATATATATATATATATATATATTTATTATTTATATTTATAACTATTTATATTAGATCTGTAATGACAGATATGAGAAAAACTAACTTAGTATAAAGGTCTACAATCGATAATTAAAACAATGATTTACTTTAATAAATTTAAAGTCTTTAATTACAACTAGAAAATAAATCAAAAGAAATTAGAATGTTAAGAAATGAAAAGAATGAATTAACTACAAAATTAATGGATGTTTCATAAAAAGTTTAATTTATTGAAACAAAAGAATTCACCAGTAGCGAAAATACTGTTAATGTTATTAAAAATTTAGAAAAATAAATAGAAGAAGTATAATTTGCAAATACAGATTTAAGGTAAAAATATCAATAAAAATAAAAAAATAAATTTAACTTAAAAGAGCTGACTTAAGTAATTATAAAAAAATGAAAAAAACTCTTGAAGACGAAATAGAAAATTTAAAAATTTCCAGAGCTTAGTAATTAGAAAACCATAAAGAAGAAATAAACTAATTAAGAATAAGATAAAAAACATTAGTTGAAGATTTATAAGAATAAAAAAGAAAATATGATCATCTTCATTTCTATTTAGAAAGAAATGCAAAATAATATGAATTTGAAGAAGAACGTAAAAAAAAAAAAATAGTGAATAAAAAATAAATAAAAAAAGAATATAGAAGTTAATTAAAAATTAAAGATGCACAATTAACAGAACTTTAATAAAAATTAAATTAAAGGGAAAAAAACGAATTTTATGAAATAAAAATAAATATGTTATATGATGAAAACGAAAGATTAAAACTTCTTATAGGAGACAAGAATAAAGAACTAGAATTATTTACAGAAAAAATAAACAGATTATAAGGCAACTCGTCTAAATAAATGGAAACAATACGTTTAACTATTGAAAGTTAATTAAAAATAGATTATGATAGAAAATTAAGATAATAAACAACCTAATTAGAAAGCCAAATACAAAAATTAAATTTCGAATTAAAATAATCAAATGATTAATTAGAATAATTGAAAAAAAATTCCACCTAATTAAATGATGAACATTAAAGAATGACTTATGCAGTTACTTCTGGTATCGAAGAAGCCTAGTTATGGAAATAAAGATATTAATAATTAGAAATTGCACATAATAGCTAATAAAGAAATGAATCTGTAAGTATTGAATTATAAAATAAGATATAAACTATTTCTGATTTGGAAATAAAAATTTCTGTTTTATAAAATTAACTGAATGTCTATAAAGTAATATATATTTATAATTTAATTTCTTTTTACTCCTAAGATATATATATATATATATACTTATTTTTTATTTTAATAAAAAGAATGTATTTGAAGGAAATGAAACTGTTTCTATTGTTAAATTTGAATAACTATAGAAAGAAAATAATGATTATAAAGTTGTTATTGATCATCTAAAAGCAAAACTTGATGCGGCAGAAGAAATTATTAGAATTAATAGAATTGGTTAAGAAGCTGATATTATTTAATAATTGAAAATATAGAATGAAGATCTAAAGTTGTAAAATGAGGAAATGAAAAATGATATACTTGTATTAATTGCAAAGTAAGAGGAAGTAAATTATCTATTTTTTTATATTATATTTTTTTTTATTTAAACAAACAAAAATATATATATATGTGTATTAAAAAGGATGGACCAGAAGAATAAATAAAATAATCAAAAACCTATTAAAATGAAATATATTCAAATTAAAATAATATATTGCCTATAAAATGTAAATTTTCTAAATTAATTTTATTTTATTGTATTTTTTGTTATAAAAAAAATATATATATTAATAAATTATGAAAATTATTTATTATTAATATTTAAGCTAATACAAACTTTATGTAATCATAGAATTTATAATCATAGAATTTATAATTATAGAATTTATAATCATAGAATTTATAATCATAGAATTTACAATCTTATAATTTTTAATCTTAGAATATATAGTTACCCACTCTAGGTAATTATTAATAATAAAATTAAAGCAATTACCAATAATAATAAGATTTTAATACAAAAAATACTTTTAGAAGCTCTTATAATTATACAACATCTAATAATAATAATTAATTATTATCTAATAACTTTTAATGAAAACTATCAGAACCAGTCGCATATAAGTATTATATAGAATAGAATTTTTGAAAATATATAGTTTTTTTTATTTTATTAAAAATTATATAATAATAAATTTATACTATTATTAATAAAGAAAACTTTTTTAAAAAATTAATTATATTTATTTTTAATTTCTTTCTTATTTTTTTTTAAAATAAAATAAAATAATAATTTATAATAAATAATAGCTTTTTATTTAAATTATAGTAATTAATTAGTATATTTTTATAATAATAAAAATGGTATAGTTTTTCTATATCATAACAAATTTTATTCGATTTAATTATTTTGTACTTATGTTTCTAATTTATTTAATTCTTATTTTGTAAAAAGTAACATATATTCTAAAGCATTTAATTAATTTAATAAAAAATGCATTTTATCATCACTTAAATTTTCTTATTGTGAAACTTTACATTCGGATATAATTTGATTGAATTATATTTAGCTTAATTAATTATTACTATTTACATCTTCATTTTAATTATTTTCACTTTAAATTTAATTTTAATTATTATTAATGTTAAAGTTAAATAATTACATGCTTTGATTTTGATTTATTTAATTTACATTTTAGTAGGAATCATATTATTAACTATTTTAAGATTAAGAGGAATTTTGAATTTATGATTCCATCTTTAATTTTTATTAAATTAAATTTTCGAATAAATTAATTAAAATATATATGTTTTTTTACTTCATTCATATATTTATTAAAGAATTTATTAACTCTTTTTTAGAAATACTCAATAAATTAAGATTCTAATAATTTAAAGAATTAACTTTTTTATTCTATTTGAAGAAATTCATCTTAATTATCATTTAAAGATAAACTTTTATTTTAAATTTATTATTTTTATTTTTCCTATAAAGTTTTTTATTTATGAAGTTATTTATTTAATTTATATTTTTTATAAAAAACAGAATAATCTTTTAGACATTTCTATTATTTTAATTAAATATTGCTCTTTTATAATAATTAGTAAAGCTTATTTTAATCCTCATATTTATTTTTTTCTTTATTCTTTCTATTATATCTCCTTTTATTGTAAGTAATATAATTATTAATATTATTCTGATTACTATTATTAATATTATTATTTTTATTATTTTCATTACTAAAGTTATTTTAGTTTTTTTCGTCAATTTATATGTTAAAGTTATTTATATTCTATTATTAATCATTTTAATCTTTAATTTTTTGTAATATTTTATTAGACTATTAACCCTCACTTATTATTTAGTTTTTTTCAAATTTATCTTTATTTTCTGTATTGTTTTAGCTTTCCCTTTCCTTTTATTATTTTTTTAATGTTTTTAAATCTATATTCGAGAATTACCTATTTACATTTTTTATATTTTCTTATGAATTTGTCATATTTTTAATAATTGAATCATTCATTAATTTTCTAAATGTGCTATAAAATCTATTTTTTATTGCATTTTCAGTTCTTCCTTTTTATTTATTTAAAGAATTAAGTTTTTTTTTTAAAAAAAAAAAATAATAATAATAAATAAAATTTTTAAAATCCTATTTATATTTTTTATTTTTTTTTTAAATAAAAACACTTTTTATAAAATTTTAAAAAATTAATAAATTATACTACTATAATTGATTTAATATTATTATATTTAATTATTTATATAACAAATATCTTTTAATTTTTAGATATTTTTAATATTAACTCTTTATTATAAATATATAAATATTACCTTTTAATTATTTTGATATAAAACTCCATGCTGATCCATTATCTAAATATCCTTAAAATATAATTTAATCTTCTTCTATAGTCCAATTTCCTTTTTTAAATCAGGTTTTAAACCATTAAACCATCTTTCTCTGCATTATTTACTATTTCTTCCTGGTATAGTATCTGAACATTATTGCCATTTTTATGGTCCATTTATTTTTACCCATTTAAAAATTTTTTCATCTTCTTCTTTTTCCCATGGACCTTTTATTTATGATATTAAAATTAATATTATTTTTGATTTTGAATTAATTTTATATTGTATTTTTTTTTATAAAAACTTTTTTATTTACCTTTTTTAATATAAGGTATATTTTAAGCATTTAACATTATTATGTATTGTTTAATTTTTTTTTATTATTTTTTTTAAATATACAGAAATTGCTAAAATTAAAAAATATAAATTTTCAATTTTCAAAAACTTTAAAAATATTATAATAAAATAAAATTAGAAAAAAATACGATTTAGAAAATAATAATAATATATAAAAAGATACATATGCAAATATATATATATATATATTTTAATTTTATTTATATTTATATTTATTATAATATTTATTAAAAATAATATTTATCATTAATCTTATTAATTCTAACATTCTGCAATCTTATTTTTAACTATTTATTTATATTAATTATTTTTAAAAATTTGTGGCATTACTTTTTGTTAAAATTACTTCTTTCCCTTTAAAATATTATACTTATTTGTAATTTTTATTCGAATTATTAAATAATGCAATATTTTATATTTTTAGCATCAACTATTCTAAATTAATTACATTTTAATATGAATACCTATTAAAACATTAACCAAGTTTTCACTTATTAAAAGTGACTATATTTTTAAAATTTCATAATGTTTCTAATCTAAATTGAGTCCTTTAAAATTCCTCTTAGAAAATATTATATTTAACTTTTAAAAAGTTTTTTTTGAATTAATTCTGTTTTTGAAATTTCTTCATTTTCTAAATTAAAAGTAAACATATAAATTTCAAGAACTTGCCTATTTAAATAAAAATTATAAAGTAAAAGAATTTAATTTTCAGTTTATTTTTTATACTATATTAAATTACACATTTTAGACAATTTTAATCTACTATTATTTATGTAATATTATTAAGTATGCTTCCTATATATTCTTCTATACTATATATACATATGATTTGTACATTTCTACTAATACTTTTCTGTATTTTTTACCGTGATAAATTTTTTAAATAAGAATAAACTTTGTGTTCTATACACCATTAAGTTAATAATTATAAAATTTAAACAAAAATATAAATACTTTTTTTTCTTTTTATATGTAAAGTGTCAATAATTAAATTATGTTTTAAAACTTATTAAATTTTTATTTATTTTTAAAATAAATTTAAATAGACTCAAAATATTTATAAAAAATCAAAACTTTGTTGATCTATGTAATAAATGGCATTAAGATAATTAAATAAATATAAAAATACATTTGTAAAAATCGAAAATATTATGTGAAAACACTTTCAAAAAGTAGAGCAAAACAGTATGTATTTTAGCCAAGCATTAATAAAGTTGAAATATTATTTAAGTCATTTATTTAGAGAATATATATAATTAAAAAAAGCTTTTAATTATAAAATATAAAAGGCAATTAAAAAAAGAGAATAATAAAAATGAATAAATAGAAACCTAATAAAAAACTGTTTTTTTGGTGAAATCTTTTATAAATGAATATAGTGTATACCCATATTACTTAAGAAAAAAAAATTAATTAAGTAAAAATAAATAGAGATTATTAAAAATAAATTCAAATATAACTAATATTTTAAAATTGCATAAATAAATAAATATTTTAATTATATCATAAAATAAATTCTAGTATTTTTAATGGTTAATTATAAGAACTTGATGACAAATATAATATACTTTCTTTTTGAACAAGTATTTTTTTATTTATAATAATAATGTATAAAAAAAATAGAGTTAAACAAAGAATTATTTATAAATTCAATAAATTTATTTTTAAAAAACAATTAAATACATAAAAATATGTTTAAAGAAAATTTAATAATATAAACATTAGAATTAATTTCAAAATATAATATATTATTACATTTTTTTATTATGAATGTAAGTAATAGATAAAGATTTATTAAGTTTTGTGCTTTTTTATTAAGTTAGGCTTGTATTAAATTTTTAATCTTATTATAATATCGAGCTATTTTCTTATTAATAATTATCATAATTTGAAGTTTTAGCCCTGAAAATTTAATTTTTATATGTATTTTAAATATACTCGTAAAATTTAATAGAATTATTATATGTTTATATTACTTTCTTTTACTATTATGTATTTTATTTTAATAATTTTTATTCATAACTTAATTTTTTATTTGTTAAAGCTCTTTTAATAGGCTATCGTATTATTAAATTTGTTCCTATTGATGAATTATCTCTCTTAATAACACTTTGTAAGTCAATTAAGTTAAAACTTTATAATGTTTACTCTGATTTTAAAGTTTATTTATTACGTGTATTTAATTTTTACATATTAAATACTTAACTAATAAAATAAAAGTAAATTTTTTTTTTTTTTTTTTTAATAACTGTTAATTAAATTAAATTATTTTCAAATTTATTTAGTTTTCATTATCTTCTGGGATATCAAAATCATCTTCAACTATATTAAATTTAAAATAGTTATGTTCTAATGCTTTTTCAGGAGTTATTCTTTTTTAAGGGTCTGATTAAAGCATTTATTTTAATAAATCTTAACCTTTTTTTATAAAAAATTGAATAATTAAATATAAAATTAAATAATTTATTGTTTTTTTTTAAAAAATAAAATAAAATACATTATTAATTATAATTTCTCAATTCTGGGATGTTAAAATCTATTTTGCATCTTTTATTTAATAAAAGTGTTTCTTTAGTATTTTTTCCATTAAATAAAGGTTTTAAAGTCAAACTTTTTTAATATTGATATTTAATTCAAAATATAAAAAAAGAATTACATATAAAAGAAAATAGCCCCCAAACTAAAAACATCACATTAAGAATCATATTTTTAGTGTCTTTCATTAAAATTAATTATTTCAGGTGCAACATATCCAGGAGTACCGCATTTAGGATAAATATAATTTTCCGCATTTTAAAAAGTTGCTAATCCAAAATCAATTAAAATACTCTCAACTTCATGTCTTTAATTCAAAAGTATATTATCTGGTTTTATATCTCTATGAAGTATTCCTTTTTATTTTAAATAAACCAAAGTGCTAATCATTTGTTTCATAAATTTAATAATAAAATCTTCATTTATTGGGGATAAGTTTTTTCTTTTGCTAATTAAGGATTATCCTTTATTTTAATTGTTAAAGCGATTCTTTCTAATAGTGAACCTCCATAACATAAAGGTATAACTATATAATAATTATTTAAAGATTCCCAAACTTCCAATATTTATAAAATACCTTCATGTTTTAAGCAACGCATAATTTTTATTTCATTATAAAAGGCTTCCTGAAAAAAATAAATAGATTATAATTAAATTTATATTAAAATTATTTTTATTACATATCCATTATTCTCATTAAATAAACGGTCTTTATGAAATGCTTTAATTGCAAATTATTAGTTTGTTTATATTTATTTAATTAAATATACCTTTTTATTTTAATAATATTTAATTTTTTATTATTACGACTGCAAAGCTACCTTTTCCAAGACTTTTTATAGTTTTATAAATTAAATGAAATCCCCTTTATATAATATTTTCTTGTAAAAATGAAATAATATTTTCTTTTTATTCTATAAAATAACATTCACATATCATAATTTAATCCATTTACTGAATATTATTTACCTATAAATTATCGTATATAATTTTTATGTTTTATTATTCTTATTCTACTTTTATTTAAGAATCTTAAGTTCTAATAAATTAAAAACCTAAATATTCATTATTTGTTTCGTTCATAATCCATTCTACTCTTAATCGATTATCTAATTATATTTAAGTTATTTAATTTGTTATATTGTTTTCAAACTAAAGTATTATTAAATTATATATTGATTTTTTATTTAGTTTAATTTTTTATTTCTTTTAAAGAAATAAAAAAAATAAAAATATTTACCAATATTTTTTCTTCTTAAAAATAAATCATTAAAGTTTATAATTAATCTAAAAAAATGTTATTTTAAGAAAATTTTACGCTTATTAAACATTTAAATTAACAATTAATATTGCATAAGTTCATAATAAATTATTTTTATTTTATTTTCAATAAAATAATAAAATATTTATTTATTAAATTTTAAATAAATTAATTAATAATAAAAAAAACTTACAAAGTAAATATTATATTGATAAAATATTTATTTATTTTATTAATTTAATATTTTTAATACTTATTTCTTTTTATTCATATATATAATTTAATTAATATATATATATTTAAAAGAATTAAAAATTATTTATTATTGTTATTATATTTTTTTAGTAAAATAAATTATCAAAAATTTAAATTTATATATTATTATTATATTTAAAATATTAAATAGTTTATTATCTAATCTTTTTTTACTTTTGCCATTTATATATTTTATACATATATTATTTTATTCTAGTATTTTAAAATGTATTTTTTAATAAATATTTCCCTAAATATTAATATTAAACAATTTTAATAAATTAAATACAAAATAATAAATTTTAAATTATTGATTTTTTTTATTTTGAATAATATTAATACAATAAAATATGTAAAAATGATAAAAATATACGTATTAAATCTTTTATATATTACAATTGAATAATGAAAATTATAAAATATATTTATAACTATATATTATTATTGTATTCTAAAAAAAATATTAATAATAAAATATTTCTTTTCTTTTCGATTTTATTTTATTTCTATTTGATTTATTTATTATAATTATATGCTTATATATTTTAAAAAAAAAATATATATGATGTATAATATATTACATTACGCATAATTATAATGACTATATAATTTTAAAAAAATCACCTAATAATTACAAATTATAATTTAAAAAATGAAAATAAAAATAATTAAAATTAGATTTATTTAAAAATTAAAAAGATAATATTTAATATTATTAAAAGTTAATTTTTGAAAAAAATTATATGTAAAAAAAAGAAAACAAATATATAAAATAAATTAAATAATTATATTACATAAATTCCTACATATAAAAAAAATTAACACTAAAAAAAAAAAATTATAAAGTAAGTCTAAAATCGTAAAAAAAAAAAATTAAATTAACTAAATAGCTAAATTATAAATGAAAGCAAATAATAAAAACGATTCAATCTCTATTAGTAATTTCGAATATAGATTTGATCCTCGTCCCGTAGAATAATACTCTATGTCAACAACTAGTTAGAAATCATTTTTATTAGATAAATCAATTAACGATTAATTCTAAATATTTTTAGTAATACAATATAAAAATTCTGATGACTATAAAATATTTCCTCCCCTTGAAGTAAATATAGACAAAGAATAAACAGTATCTGAAATTATATTAAATTTGGTTTAAAAATTTAATAAAAAATCATTAAAATATTAATTAGTATAAAATGAACAATACTATGATTTATGCTAAGCTGATAAAACTGGAAAACCCAAAGAATGCACATTTGATAAATAATAAACAATAAACAAAATAAAATGTAAAAATAGACTTTGCTTAATAACTAATAATTCTAAGGCTTATAATAGAAAATTAATGAATGAATCAAACAAACCAATTAAATCTATTGAAGAGTAAGAAGATGATAATAATACATATTCTTTAAAAAATATAAAAAATAATAAAAGTCTTATTTATTCAAAAAAAAGTTTTTTATATAATTAATTATGTAACACTTAAATTACTATTAATTAAGAAAATCATAAAAGTGTGTAAAGTAATATTTAATAAGAAAAAAAAACTAAGAAATCATGGAAGAATTTATGGGGATGCTTTTGAAAAATTAAATAATAACTTTTTAAATAATTGTACTTATAATATAATATATAATAAAATAAATATAATAATGTTATATTAAAAAAAAAACTTATTTACTCTATATAATAAATATATTTCGTTTATATGTATTTATAAACAATTATTTAATATGTTTAAATTTTTTTTATATAATTATAATTTTAAAAATAAAAATAAAATTTTTGCATAAATATATTTAAATGAAATTAAGTAAATTAATTATATATATATATATATATATATATAATAATAATTATTATCTGAAATAAATTATCTTTTACTTTTAACAAATGCATATTTTTGTTAGGATTTTTAATATTATTTATTTATTTAATATTTAATAACTTTATAATTTTTTATATTTTATTTTTCTTTATATATATATATACTTATATATAAAATAATTTCGTAAAAATTATGATAATTTTTGCAATTTATTTAAGTTTCATATTTAAATTTTTATTTAGTAAAATAAATCATTTTTTTTTATATATTAATATTTAATTTTTTATAATACAATTATTTTTTTTTTATTCATATATTCTTGATAAAAAAAATATTTTATATCAATTTAGTCAACTATAAATTTGCATAATAATAATTTTAAGTAAAATAATTAAAAAATAAAATATATATTTTAAATATTTAATAAGTAAAAATATTAGTAATTATATAAATTTGAAATTACCAAAATTTGATAAGATATATATATATAAAGTATTAATGATTACTTAATATATTTTTAAATTAAATTAAAATTTAATTAAATGGGATTAATGTTTATAATAAAGATTTTTGTATTTAAAAATAATAATATAAATATGTCTTCGGTTACAAAATTGGTATAATATACGACTTGTAGAAATATCATTTAAAAAAAGTTGAATTATTACTAATTATTTATTTGAATAATATTTAAAAAATAAAATGTCTGTAATATCATCAAAAAATAAAATAAATTTATTATAATTAATAAATATTACATAAAATAAAAGTTTAATAATATTTATTAATTTATGAAATTAATTATTATTTTTTTAAATATATTAAATTATTAAAAAAAATATAATTATAAACGCAATAACACCAAGTTTTATAAAATATAGTATATAATATTATATAAAAATTTACATTTTATAGTTAATAGTTTTGTATTTAATTTTAAATTTTTATTTACTTTTATTAATTATATAATATAATAATACTATTTACAAAATTTGAGATTTTATTTTAATTTATTATAATTTTTTTTTAAATAAATAAATAAATTATGATTTTTTTTTTCATTTTTTTTTTATTTAATCTATATTATCATTATAATATAAATTAAATTTTATTAAATAATTAAAAAATATTGACTATTTTAAATAAAATTAAAATTAAAAATAAAAATGTTTATTAAAATTTAAATTATTAGAATTACTTTATATGTATTTTCATTTATTTTTAGTTTGATTTCATTCTCTATAATAAATAGGTATAAAAAAAAATTAAAACTATATTTTTATATTAAAATTATAATAAATGAAATCAGTATAGTCGCATAATTAGATGATAAAAAATTGTTCATTAATAAAAATGCATTTTTTAGGTTAAAAAAAATAATTTTGGCATAACTACCATCATATTAAGTTAAAAATATTTTATTTTATTTTAGAAATAATAAATAAATAAAAAGGGAATAGTATTAACAATATATTTTCCTTTTATGATATTCTACATATACAAATATATAAAATAGTTAGACTAAAAAAAAATATTAAATACATAATATATCATATATAATTATTTATTTATTTATATAATTATAAAAATATCATATTAATATTATTTATATTATTAATTTTAATATTAATAAACAAAAAATTTTTTAGGAAAAGATTAATAATTAAAATTGGTTAAGGAACTGCAGACTTTGAAGAAATATATATTTATAATGTATAATCTTAAGAAGAAAAATAAATAAGTAATGCCTTGCTTACTAATATATTTATTTATTTAACTTAAGTAATAATACATATTTTTTTTTATTTATTTTATTTAATGTAAACCTTTATTTATTTAATGAATTAAAATAATAATAATAAGTTATTGGCTTTATTTTTGACTATATATTTCTGTATTTTAGGAAAAGCAGAGATTTATTATTTAATGACTTAATATGAAAATACACCGGAATAATCAGATAGGTATGTTTTATTATTTAAATATATATATTCTATTCAAAATTATTAGAGATTAAATGAATGAAATAAATAATAAATTACCTTAATTAAATAGTATTATTGCTCTTAATTCATTATGTATAATTTAAATTATTATTTCTACTTTAGATAATTTTATATCCGTTATTATTTAAGCAAAAGAAAATTAAAATAAAAAGGATATTAAATGTGTTAATTGATTTAATATATAAAATTTAACAAAAAAATCAGTTAAAAATATATCCATCATAAAAACATTATTTTATTTATATAAGTTTTGTTTTAAAAATTATATTACGTAAAACTTATTTGAATTTATAAAAAAACGAAAAATTATATTTAATTTTTTTAATTTAAAATATATTTTTACTTAAATTATTATGTAAATTGTTATATTGAATTAATTTAATCATAATTTAATAACTTTAAGATATAATTATTGATTTTATTTATTAGTGCATGTATATAAGATTCAGTTAATTGTTTTAAAATACTTATTTTTGTTATATTTTAATTACTTACTATGTATTTTTTTAATATAATTTTTAAAAATATTAAATGAAATTTGTTTTATGTTTATATATGAGAAAATTAATCTTAGTATGATAAATTTTATTATTTTATATGTAAATGTCAATCATAAAATTTTTCTAAATTTATATATATATAATAAATAAATATAAGACTTAATTTTAATAAATTTAAAATTCTAAAAAAAATATTTTTATTTTTTTCTCGAAATATAACTAATTTACATTTTTAAATAAAAAAATTCATAAATATTATAAATTTTAAATTAAATTAAAAAAAAAAATTAATATATTAATTTGTGTATATATGTTTTTAACATATATATATTTTTATATTATTTAATATTAAATTATAGAAAAAAAAAAAAATTAATTTTTTACTAATCCTATCTAAAACAAAACAAAATATTTAAAATTACTATATCTTTATTATTAAATAAAATGATTCATTTATTTAACTAAATGCAATTTAATTAATAAAAATTAACTTTAATTTAAATAATCTTTTTATTAAAATAATATTTTTTCATTAAATATAAATATTATAATAAAGGAGAAAAAAAAAAAACTAACAAAATATTAAATATACATATTTTATTAAAATAAAAGATAAAAATTAAAATAAATAAATTAAAAAAATAAAAGATAAGTATAATAAATAAAGATGACAAGTATAGAATCTTCTTTATAATTAGCATTATAATCATTTTAATGTTATTAAAAGCAAGAATATTAAAAAGCAATAAAGTAAAAAAACCCTATGTTAAAGATTTTTTTAAATTAAAAAAATAAATAAGATATTTTCCATTTTTTCAATTTTTAATTTATATTATTTTTTATAATTAATTTTAATTTATCAAACAATAATAAAAAGCTATTTAGAACAGATAAAGCAAATAAAATCAAAATTATAAAATGAATAATACTGCATTTAAATTTAAGAAAATATTTTGATATGCTAATACATGTAGAATGAATTTAAAAATAACGAGTAAAATCTGCTTTCCTAATTATGTAATAATATATATTTTATTCGATATTTATGTATATGCTTTTTTAAATATATATATATAAAACCCAATAAATTAAAATATATGTATTTACTTATCGTATATTAAAAATAATTTTATTTTTGAAAAAAATAAATAGAGAATTTAATTCAAAAATCAAGCCAAATAAAAGAAAAAGAATAAAAAGTTCAAATTACAAACAATAATAATTAAAAAAGCAAAAAGAGTAAAAAGCTTAAATATACAATTATAAAAACTTATTAACTTTAATTATAAAATAACAGACTAGACAATAAAATAAGAAAATGATTTAAAAGTACGATGTTAAACATAATAAAAAAAAGAAAAAAAGAAAATATATAAATATAATTATAAATAAAATACATTAAATTATATGTATTTTAATTCTAATTTATATTTTAATACAAAAGTAAATGGAACCAGAAAACGACTATATTTTAAGATATAATTACGCAGTTTTATTAATAAATTTAGGGAAAACAAATATTGCTTTTGATATTTTATACAATTTATAATAATAAATAAGTAATTAAGATATATTTATTTTAATCAAAACGAAATTCTTACTATTAGTAAATATTAAAATAAATATAAATATATAATTTTATAAAAATAAATATCAGCAATTATCTTTGAATTTAAAAAACTTTAATATTGCAATAAATTTATTAAATAACCTTACTCAGTTTTATAAGCAATACATTACTTCTAATAAAAGCGAAGAAAATTTAAAAAAGTTTTATTTTTTATATTTTAAATAAAGCACAAAAAATAAAAATAAAATAAAATATATTAGTATTTAATACACATCATTGATATTTGGAAATTACATAAATAATTCAAAGTAATTAGATTGTTTTAGCAAAAACGAGTTTCTTTTTTATATTGAAACAACAAAAGTTCAACTATTAGCAATGGTAGGAGAATAAAATTAAGCCAAAAAAAAATTGAATAGCATTTAAAAAATCCTATAAAAATACGTAGAAGATTTGACACATTTAAATAATGATAATTCATTAAAATTTAATAAAGATATTTCTTAATAAATACATATGTAAGCATTAACAATGTTAAATTTTACAAAATCTTAAGTGGTATAAATATTTCATATATATTTTTAATAATTTTTTTTTTTTTTTGTTAAAAAAAAAAGTTTTATTATTTATAAGATAATTAAAAAACTTTCAAATGTATATCACCTACATGTGCCATAGACTCATCAATATATCCCAATAATTAAGATTCGGCAAATAATAATGGGCATAATCCATATTTTAAACATTAGGCATTATATGCAGCATTTCTTAATAATAATATTGGTTGTGCGCATTTAAAAATGTAGAAAAATAGTTTGGCTATCTATTATTTTAATAAATCATTAATATAAATATAATAATTATAATCTGCTATTAATAAATAAGAAAAAGAAAAGTTTTTGATAGAAAAGCATATTTGTTCAAAAATAAATGAAGTTTATTACAATTTAGGTTTAGCATTTTATTAATAAAAAAATTATGAATAAGCTTATAAATATTTAAATTAATCATCTAATCTTAAATATAATACACATATGTTATGGTATAGATTAGGAATAATTGCAATTAAATAATATCATAATATTTTATAAGTAAACTTTTTATTTTATATATATTTTTTAAAGTTTTTTAAATTTTTTGAAGAATTAGGGTGTAAATATTGTCCCTAATAATTTATTTTTAGGAAATAAATAAATAATAAGTTGCATAACTTAAGAAAATATAGATATTTAATAAGATTTAACGACTTAATAATAAAGTTAATTAAATAATTTAAACTTAAAACTTGAAATGGCTATAAAGTATGATTAAATGGCAAAATATTTTAAAATTTTAATTTTTTTTTTTTTTTTTTTTTTTTTTTAAAGAAAAATTTAAAAAATAAATTCACTTAATTAAAAATTTATTTTAATTTTTTTTTTAATTTAATTTTTTTTAAAAAAATTTTAATTATTTCATTTATTTATTTATTTTTAAATTAAATATATATAGATGTTTTAAAAACTGTTTAATAACTTTAGAAAAATCAATTTAAAATGAATAAGCAAATTAATTTTTAATAATGTTTAATTAACGTAAATTTTTTTTTAAAAAAAAAAAAAAAATATTTTTTTTTAAAAAAAAAAGATGATAAAAAGAGTAATGATATTTAAAATGAAAACGATAAGTAAATTTATATAAAAAAATTATAATTTAAATAATATATATTTTATATAAAAAAAGGGCTAATATAAATTTAAAAGAAACTATATATAAAAGTAATAGAATAATTTATTAATCTTTACTAACTTTTCTTGTACAAATTCATTTTTTATATTTATTTTTTAAATTTATAATTTATAAATAAGGCATATACACATTATTGTAAATAAGAATATCATTAATGTTTATATTATTGTAGAAAAACACTATCTCAAGAAAATATATAACCATAAAATAAAGCATGCTGTCTTCATTATTAACTATTATCTCATAATAATTTAAACTAAAAGGAAAGTGTAAGAATATTTTAAATAAAAATTAAAATAAATAAATAATGAAAAGGTATTTGAATTAATAAATAATAATATACAATTTATGAATGATTTAAATTTATAATTTACAAATAGTTTGACTTAAAATAAATTATAATTCTTTAATTTTAACTCAGGAATATCTTTTTAAACAAATATAATAGCATTTTACTTAAAAAATAATGAATTTCAAAATGCATAAAATTTAATAAATAGTCTATCGGTTTAATTAAATATAAATACAAATAATAATATACATTATATCCCTGCTGTTCTTTTAAACCTTATGACTTATTCAAATATATAATAATGTAAAAAATTATATATTTATTATATTAAAACTTTTTTTTATTAAAAAATAGGTAACTTTGAATAAGCGTAAAGAATTTTGTAAACCAAAAGGTTAACAAATAAAAATGTATTAAAAATTATAAAAAATGTATGAAAGTTTTAAATAATTAAATTTTTTAAAAAATATATTTAAATTTAATCAAAAAAAAAATGTAAAAAAAGCAAAAGAAATATTTTTCATTTATATTATATAAATAAATAAATAAATAAATATATAAATATATAAATATATATATATATGTATATTTATATATATATTAAAAAAAAAAAAAACTATTAAGCAAATCTTTTTTTAAAAAAATAAAAAAATAATAATAATAATAATAATAATAATAATAATAATAATAATAATAATAATAATATTTAAATAATATATAAACAAATATTAATTTAAAATTTTTAATATTAAATTTTTATATTATATATTTGATATTAAATTAAATCTTTATAAAATTTAAATAAATAAAAAATAAATATGAAAAACTAATTTTTTAAAATATATGTAAATTAAAATGGACAACAAAAATTAAATAATTTTTAAAAATAATTTAAATATTAAAAAATAAAATCAAGTAAAATCAACCCAATTAAAAGTACTTAAAGCAATTGCAAAAGCTTATACGAAATTCAACGGAAATCTAAAATCTACCACAAACTTATCATCATATTATTTTCCCATTTAAAATATGGGATAATAATCTTTATCTTCATATTACTACTATTCTTCGACTGAACTAACTGAATCTTGCTAAAAGTTAACCTAATCAAACAAAATTTAAAAGTTTATAAAAGAAGTTTCCTTAATTCTTCCAAAAGAATCAAAAATAACACTATTAGAATCTTAAAATTTAGTTCTTAAATAA